ATAGCACAGACCAGGTGTTCCACAAAGGTGTCAGGGGGGAGAGGTGCAAAAGATACTTTTGTTAGATTGCAAATTTTCATGAGCAGATCCGATAAGAAATGATACAAATGTACCCAAGTTTTCCACGCTATGTTGCCAGCATCCAAAAGCCTGTACCGTTCTCTGTTGAGGGTAAGTCTCCTCTCCAGGTATTTCGCTGTTGACCCCTTGAGATTCTCCTCCCGTTCTCCGTCAGTGGTGCGTGCTCTGTGGGTCCAAGGCACCACAGGTGCACAGAATCCTGGCGCCAGCCCAACCCATGACGGGGATCTCCGGGGTTTGGTACCCTGAAGAGTTGCCTAAATCCCCTCTGTTCCCTGGACTTCTAGAATGGAGCCGGGCACAGGGCTCAAGCTCCAGAACTGTCTGCGGGACAAAGGCTGGATGGAAGCAGAACGAAGCCGCAGGGAAGATGCTTTCTCTGCGCTCCTGAGGGGGAGGACCGCTCGGCCCCAGTGTCAAGGCTCAATGACCAGAACTCCTGCAAAGCACACCAGAGCATCGCTTCAAGAGCCTTTACCAGAGTGAGGCCTGGGAATTAGCTCAGAGACTTGCTTGTTGTCTTCCCAATGTCACTTTCCGTCTTGAAACTCTGTGTGTGTGTGTGTGTGTGTGTGTGTGCACGCGCATGCGTGTGTGTGTGTGTGTGTGTGCATGTGTGCACACATAGCAGCAGCTCCTGACTGAAGAAGGCCGCACGGTCCAGTGACTGACCGCAGCCCCGGTGACTCCCACTCACGTGTGGTCCGGGGGGTACTCAGTAACCACTTCCCACAATTTTGTTACATAGGCACCGTAGCCCTACACATACAGGGCCAGTGCGTGGACATTCTGGTTCTAGCAAACCAGAGACGGACATGGTGAATACACTCCAAATTTCACGTCAGTGGACATAAAATATGGGTTCTGACAAGGTTGGTGGCATTCGTGTCTCCTCTTGTCTGGCATGGACCCGCGTCCCCCCGTCACTGGTCTGCATGGCCCAGGCAGGCGTGAGCGAGGCTGTGGTCTTCTGAGGAGGAGCTGCATGCGTGACGGTGACCTGGAAGCGGCCGCTCTTCAGACTGATTTAGAATAACTTCTTTGCTGAGTATTTTTGGACCTGAATGGTAGCATGAGCTTCAGCTAAAACTCCATATGGATGCCAGCTTGAGACGCAAACCCTCCCGCCTCTCCCGCAGGACGGTGCTGAGACTTGCTGGTGCCCCCTGCTCCTTCTCGGATCAGGGTCTGTGGTTCTGGCACGCACACAAGTGTGACCACCAGTCCTCCGAGGGTCTTCTCTCAGATTGCTTGCGTTGACTTTCTGAAGCACACACAAAGTACAGTGCAGATCCTCATCTCTCAGCATTGGTGCAGAGCAGAAGATGTGTCCCCTGGTGGTCAGTGGCTGGGTTTAACGCCAACCGGAAGTGCTGCGTGCTAGTCTCCACCCCACATCATTTCCTCAATGACATCAAGTGTGTGTGACTTTCCCAGAGGCCCCCTTGGGGCCCCGTCCCACAGAGTTCTCCCTAGTCAAAAGACTGTAACTCTTCCTTTCTTGTCATCTGTGTTCCCTGTGTCCTGTCCTGAGACCCCGGAAGACAGAGATGGCAGAAAACATGCCTGTTTCACACTTCTGCTCAGTGCATCAATCCTTGGTCTTCAGTAAAATGTAGTTGTTAGTTGGCTCATTGGGGTCTAGGTGGAGGACACATGGATGTATACAGTGGCAGATGGATGATGAATCAGATGGATGCTGAAGAGTCATGTGAATGGAGGGAAGATAGAGGGTACAGGCAGATACATGAGGAACAGGGAAATAGATAAAGCGTGCAGGAGTAACGGGCACCCCTTCTCAACACATGCCACTCCTTGGACCACCTCTGTCTCCTGAGAAGCAGCAGCAAGATGCTCAACGTATGGCTAACTTTCCTGCAGGAAAGCATGGCAAATGCTTTGTGTGACAATCAGCACAAGCCACGGCACGATTCCCTTCTGTTGTCACTCATTTCCTCCTGTCCACTTGTACTAGGAGCAGAGCCGGAGTCTGTATTCTGCATCGACCCTGTCAGCCACACAGGCTTCTCCCCCAGGGGCAGGGCTGGACCCTCGCTGTGTGGATGGCTCTGGACGAAGGAGGCAAAGGGAGAGGAGGCTGAGGCCGAGGAGCCGACCCAGAGCACGAGAAGACCAGGCTGCCTCTTAGAGTACTTCATGCAGGTGAGACACTCTAAATTTAAAACATTAAGGGAGGCTCGTTCGTCATTGCTATATTCAGACTGAAAGTCAGATTTTTCCAGATTATGCTCACACTGGGGCCTACAAAATAGAAATGAAAGCGAGCCACAGAGCAGGGGTGAGGAAGAGGGAGCGCGTTAGCTGATGGGAAGTGCACGTAAAACTCAAAACGTTAACACACCTTCGTTCACCTCAGGTGAATTTATAAGTGAAACTTTTTTCTGTTGTTTTCATTTTCAAGGTTACAAATTCATTAGTCTATTCCCGGGAATGACTGCTTCAATTCAAAGGACTTTTTAATAATTCTGGTAACTCTAATCTGAACCATTATGTCTAATTTCTTAATATGAATCCAGAAATATTGGTGACCTAATAAGTTTTACAGCCCTGCACGCGACTTCTTTACGAAGCTTATGCCATTATGTAATATGTTATAAAGCAACCTGAATGTTGTAAAACTCATTAGTTTTTTCTCTTAGCGAAAGTGCATGATAGCCAAAATTTTAAGTGGAAAGCTATTAAAGTTCCAGAAATCCCAGCCTTACATGAGGTTTTCAGGGTGTTTTTTTTTTTTGTGCTGGTGTCAGGGTTTTTGAAGCTGGCTCTGTGGGAAGGTACCACCTTTATTCAAGGGAGTTGCTGCGGATCTTACAGGTTTTTTTTTGTATTATAAATAGAGTGAAGAAAGCAGGATGAAAAATTAGGAAACAACTGGCTCAAAGATGAACCCTCAGGAGTCACACCTCATGGGTGAGCACAGATCTGCACACGTGCTGAGCTGAAGCTGTGGATGCTGACCTGCTCTGAGATGCTCTCAGGGTGGGGACTGAGAAAGGGCTGGCACAGGGTCCGCGTGGCCCCAAGGCCGGGCTAGCGCAGACCTTGGCACGGCTCTTTTCCCCCAGAGCTGCTGCTGGCAGACTCAGTTTCCTGGTCCTTGGACAGTCAGCACCACAGAGCTCAGGACGTGAACTCTGAGCTGCCCTTGACCTGACGAATGGTCTGGAACATTGCTGGGAGAAGTCAGAACAAGAGTGAGCAATAGTAAACACCGAGAGTAGTGATATGTCCATCAACAAGCAGACCAGTTCCTTGGATCTCCCTAGGCCAACTTCAGACCCAGACCCCAGGCCCCAGCTCTGAGAACTTGTAAAACAAACCACAAACAAACAAAAACCAGCCCTCCCTCCTCTCCATCCTTCCCTCCCTCTTCTCTCTCCTCTACCTTCTCCCTTCCCCCTCCCTCCCTCTCTCCAATCCTCCCCCTTCCCTTTTTCCTTCTCTCTCCCTCCCCCTTCTCCCTCCTACCCCCTCTCTGTCCCTCTCTCTCTCCCTCTCTTCCTCCCCCTTCCCTCTCTCCTTCTCTGTTTCTCTCCCTCCCTCCCCCCTCTGTCCCTCTCTCCCTCCCTCTCTCCTCCATCCTTTCCTTCCATTCTCCCTCTCTTTCCTTCTTTATTCCCTCTGATCTTTTCAAAAGATACTATGTTGTTCTAGTGTGGTTTTAGTGATGATGCTGGCCTTGTTTATTGGAACTGCATTTGGAAACTGCTGTCTTGGTCATCTTTACAGTCCAGGAAGCTTCAGGAGCAGAAACGGTTTCTGATGCAAGAACTTCAGGCAGCACCGAGGACCCTGCACCCTGCACCCTGCACCCTGCGCCCTGCACCCTGCACCCTGCGCCCTGCACCCTGCACCCTGTGCCCTGCACCCTGCACCCTGCACCCTGTGCCCTGCACCCTGCGCCCTGCACCCTGTGCCCTGCACCCTGCACCCTGCACCCTGTGCCCTGCACCCTGCGCCCTGCACCCTGTGCCCTGCACCCTGTGCCCTGCACCCTATGACCTGCGCCCTGCACCCTGTGCCCTGCACCCTATGACCTGTGCCCTGAACTCTGTGCCCTGCACGCTGCGCCCTGTGCCCTGCACCCTATGACCTGTGCCCTGCACCCTGTGCCCTGCACACTGCACCCTGTGCCCTGCACCCTATGACCTGTGCCCTGCACCCTATGACCTGTGCCCTGCACCCTGTGCCCTGCACCCTGCACCCTGCACCCTGTGCCCTGCACCCTGTGCCCTGCACCCTGCACCCTGTGCCCTGCACCCTGCGCCCTGCACCCTGCACCCTATGACCTGTGCCCTGCACCCTGTGCCCTGCACCCTATGACCTGTGCCACACCCTGTGCCCTGAACCCTGCGCCCTGTGCCCTGAAGCCTGTGCCCTGCACCCTGCACCCTATGACCTGTGCCCTGCACCCTGTGCCCTGCACCCTATGACCTGTGCCCTGCACCCTGTGCTCTGCACCCTGCACCCTGTGCCCTGCACCCTGCACCCTGCACCCTGTGCCCTGCACCCTATGACCTGTGCCCTGCACCCTGTGCCCTGCACGCTGCGCCCTGTGCCCTGCACCCTATGACCTGTGCCCTGCACCCTATGACCTGTGCCCTGCACCCTGTGCCCTGCACCCTGCACCCTGCACCCTGCACCCTGTGCCCTGCACCCTGCGCCCTGCACCCTGTGCCCTGCACCCTGCACCCTGTGCCCTGCACCCTGCGCCCTGCACCCTGTGCCCTGCACCCTGTGCCCTGCACCCTATGACCTGCGCCCTGCACCCTGTGCCCTGCACCCTATGACCTGTGCCCTGAACCCTGTGCCCTGCACGCTGCGCCCTGTGCCCTGCACCCTATGACCTGTGCCCTGCACCCTGTGCCCTGCACGCTGCGCCCTGTGCCCTGCACCCTATGACCTGTGCCCTGCACCCTATGACCTGTGCCCTGCACCCTGTGCCCTGCACCCTGCACCCTGCACCCTGTGCCCTGCACCCTGTGCCCTGCACCCTGCACCCTGTGCCCTGCACCCTGCACCCTGTGCCCTGCACCCTGCGCCCTGCACCCTGCACCCTATGACCTGTGCCCTGCACCCTGTGCCCTGCACCCTATGACCTGTGCCACACCCTGTGCCCTGAACCCTGCGCCCTGTGCCCTGAAGCCTGTGCCCTGCACCCTGCACCCTATGACCTGTGCCCTGCACCCTGTGCCCTGCACCCTATGACCTGTGCCCTGCACCCTGTGCTCTGCACCCTGCACCCTGTGCCCTGCACCCTGCACCCTGTGCCCTGCACCCTATGACCTGTGCCCTGCACCCTGTGCCCAGCACCCTGCGCCCTGTACCCTGCACCCTGTGCCCTGCAGCCTGCAGCCTGCACCCTGCGCCCTGTGCCCTACACCCTGTGCCCTGCACCCTGCACCCTGTGCCCTGCACCCTGCAGCCTGCACCCTGTGCCCTGCACCCTATGACCTGTGCCCTGCACCCTGTGCCCTGCACCCTGCGCCCTGTACCCTGCACCCTGTGCCCTGCACCCTGCACCCTGCAGCCTGCACCCTGCGCCCTGCACCCTGTGCCCTGCACCCTGCACCCTGTGCCCTGCAGCCTGCACCCTGTGCCCTGCAGCCTGCGCCATGCACCCTGCACCCTGTGCCCTGCATCTTGTGCTGCAGCCTGCACCCTGCGCCCTGTGCCCTACACCCTGTGCCCTGCACCCTGCACCTTGCGCCCTGGGCCCTGCAGCCTGCACCCTGCAGCCTGCGCCCTGTACCCTGCACCCTGTGCCCTGCAGCCTGCACCCTGCGCCCTGTGCCCTACACCCTGTGCCCTGCACCCTGCACCCTGCGCCCTGCACCCTGCGCCCTGCACCCTGTGCCCTGCACCCTGCGCCCTGCAGCCTGCACCCTGTGCCCTGCAGCCTGCGCCATGAACCCTGTGCCCTACACCCTGTGCCCTGCACCCTGCACCCTGCGCCCTGCAGCCTGCACCCTGTGCCCTGCACCCTGTGCCCTGTAGCCTGCACCCTGTGCCCTGCACCCTGCGCCCTGTAGCCTGCACCCTGGGCCCTGCAGCCTGCACCCTGCACCCTGCGCCCTGTGCCCTGCCCCCTGCAGCCTGTGCCCTGCACCCTGGGCCCTGCAGCCTGCACCCTGCGCCCTGTGCCCTGCCCCCTGCAGCCTGTGCCCTGCACCCTATACCCTGGGCCCTGCAGCCTGCACCCTGCGCCCTGCGCCCTGAGGCCTGAACCCTGCACCCTATACCCTGTGCCCTGCACTCTGCACCCTGGGCCTTGCCTGCACTCTGCACCCTGCACCCTGTGGCCTGTGCTGAGCTGCTGAGATGTGCATGGCCTCATGCAGCCTCAGTTCCAGGGCTGCAGGTGGGTCTTTAACTCTTTAATGTCAACATCTACGTCAGGTGGTTAAGTCCCTGTGACAGAGACTTCTGAGGGAACATTTTTATAAACTATCATCAACAGTGTTCCTCTCTATTTTCAGCAGCTCACATGGCCACAGAATCTCTGTGGAGATTCCTGCTCACATGTACAGTGGAGACCTGGAAAGTTCATGATCACCGTGATGATGGTGATGGTGGTGATGAGGATAATGGTGATAATACCAACAATGATAATGGGTCAGCAGACAAAAGGGACAGGAGGGAGGAGATACTGGAGGTGGAGAGGATCGAAGGACGTTACATACATATGTATACACAGGTGTGTACACATGTGTGTGTGTGTGTGTGTTCATATACCAGAACAGCTCAGTGAAATCAATCTACCAAATGCTCTTTGCAAAGGGGAGAGAAGAGTGAGAATATGGGAGAAGGCGTGCCCCACGCACTCCTTTCTTGCATATGGAACTATTACAATAAAAGCCCCTCACACTACACATGTATGCTAATTCAAAAGAATGTAAGTGTAGTTTTAATCTCCATTCCCACTCTGTGGCTTGCCTTTGCTTTCTCTTAGTAGACATGTCCCATGAACATAGAGATCCTCTCTGCGCCAGTATTCTAGCTATGAAATGGAGAGATCAATATGTTCTTGCCTTTTAACTTTCCAAATATGACAGCAATTATTCTTCTGAAGTATTTGAGGTCTTTCAAAGGAAAAGCCTAAAAATGCAGGAGGATTTCCTTTACCTGAATTCCACCCTCTGCCTTCTTTGCCCTTTGGCTCGCTCACATAGCCTCTGTTTCTAATTCTGTTGCCTATTTTTCTCAGTGCCTTCCTCAGATGCTCTGTCCTGTGACCTGTAAGATGGCTGAAATGGGGTCTCTTTCTCCCATTCCATTTCTCAGAACCTTTCCAATGGATAAAGTGGGGTTTGTGTGTTTCCTGCCACAACTACCTGATTCAGAATTGCTTCATGTGTCTTTCCAGTAAGTCTGGCGGGGTGGTTTGTATTTTAAATTCTTTATTTACCTATATAAATCATAGCACAGGCATTATTTGTCTCCAGAGTAAGTTTTATCATAAACTCTTAAAAATGGATTTGCGGCAGGAGCAATTTAGTGTTTGTTTGGATTTTTGCAGACGCTCAGCAGGCTCAAGAACTTGGAGGAATTTTTTTTTTCAGAACTCCTCTAAGGTTAAAAAAGAAGGCAACTTTTATAGCTCTGCAAAATAGGATTCCCTGCCTCCTAGAAACCTCCTGCAGCTCCTGTCAAAATGCTTTATTTAGCTGCTCTTCGCATTCTGAATACTTCATTTTTTAGGGGTATAATTTGTATGTGGAAAAAAATGTATTTTTGCCTTATATTGTATTTCATATATACATTGCATCTGACCACTTTACAAGTGGACCTTTAATTTCACATGTTCTTGTACAAATTAGCCCAGGCTTCTGCATGAATTTTGTGGTCCAGAAAAATCCGTGAAATCAAACTTTAGACAGAAAAATTGTACAGTAATCAAGTAAAAGACATACCATGTGTCCAATAATACTCATTTCTTTAAATCAGGGATCAACAAAAAGTGTGGTACGTACACGTGGAACTTTGCTGATCAGAAAGCATGATACTGTACCCTTTGTAAAGAAACGGACAGACCTGGACAAAAACAATGCTAAGTGAAGAAAGTCAGACTCAGAGGGACAAAGGATGCATGTTTTCCCTTCTATGTGGAAGCCAGATTTTGCTTACGAACTTGTAAGTACACACACCGTGAGGTAGGTAAGTGTAGACAAAAGTATTGACTGTGATACGGTCCATTCAAGGGGGAATCACATGGTGTAATTCCTGAGAAAGGCAAAGTCACAGTTCAGCAAAATGAAACACCAGGATGTGGGAACTGCAAAAGTGTGGGGTGGGGTACAGACAAAGGGGGGGGCAGGGGGAGATGACAAAAGAGGAGGAGCAGGGGGCAGGGTGCAGTCAGGAATCCGAGGCAGACCCTCCAAAATTAAGAAGAGTGAGGGAAGGGGTGGGTGAAGAGGGGTGGGTGACACTGTTGGAAGGGTGACATCGATCAAGATGCGTTGTGTTCATAAACTGCGTTGGTGAATAGCAACTCCTTTGCACATCTACTTACAGACAGTAAAATAAAAAGATCCTTAGGTCTAACTGTAGCTGCAGGTGACAGACGAGGCGGTGGCCAGGGAGTCCAGCCTGGGTAGCTGCTGGCCTTCCTTCACCCTGGTGGAGACTCACCCTCCCGATGGATGGTGCTTGGCTGAGTCCCGAGGAAGCTCTGGAAGCCACGAGGCTGTGTTCTACCTAGCAGCAGAGGGGGAGATGGAGGGCACACTTTGTCCAGGAGGCTGGGTGGAAGACCCGTGTGGGTGGTCATGGGGCTGGCCACATCCTCACAGCTGGAAGTGACTAGAATGTTCTTCCACCAGCAGAGGCCTGAGCCTGGCTGCAGCAGTCAGTGTCCAGCCCCAGCACCAGCCCAGGTGGGTGACAGTGTGGAGGGTTCAGTGACTTCCTTCCATGTTCCAAAGGAGACAGGGTGAGCTGTTTTTTCTACACCTCAGTAAGACATCTTGAAGTGTGCGTCTGCGTGGGATGGATGGAAAGGATTCCCTGGGCAAAGTCCCTGGGGACTGGAGTTGGCTGTCTCCTCCTCCACAGCCCCCCCCTCAGTTCCCCCATCCCCACCCCCTACCCCGCACCCCTCCGCCTGGGTCAGAACCACTGGTGTGCACCCTGGGATTTGGGTTTAGAGAACGGTGTGCAGCTTGCTCATACAGGTGCGAGTGTGCATGCCACGCATGTGCACGTGTGTGCCTGTCTGTGTGTGTGCTTCTGAGCATGTGTGTCCATGGGAACTGAGTGCATGTGCATGTGTGTGCATTAACGCATGTGTGTGAGCATGTTCGTATCCACGAGTGTGTGTGTGTGTGTGCATGCGGCAGATGTGTGTGTCTGTGTGTCCACAAGCCAGGAGCAGCTTGCACAAAGCCTCTTAGGAACAGCGCACTTCTCTTTCCCAGGGATTGGAGTTCCAGAAGAGAGGCCCAGATCCCTGGCCCGCACTTCCCGGATCCTCCCCCCCACTTCCCGGATCCTCCTCCCCACTTCCCCCACTTCCCGGATCCTCTCCCCCACTTCCCCCACTTCCTGGATCCCCCCCACACTTCCCCCACTTCCCCGATCCCCGTCCCCCCCCCACTTCCCCCACTTCCCGGATCCTCCCCCCCACTTCCCGGATCCCCCCCCACTTCCCCCACTTCCCCGATCCCCGTCCCCCCCCCCACTTCTCCCACTTCCCGGATCCTCCCCCCCTTCCCCCATTTCCCGGATCCTCTCTCCCACTTCCCCCACTTCCCGGATCCTCCCCCCCACTTCCCGGATCCCCCCCCACTTCCCCCCACTTCCCCGATCCCCGTCCCCCCCACTTCCCCCACTTCCCGGATCCTCCCCCCTACTTCACCCACTTCCCGGATCCTCCCCCCCACTTCCCCCACTTCCCGGATCCCCCCACACTTCCCCCACTTCCCGGATCCCCCCACACTTCCCTTACTTCCCCGATCCCCGTCCCCCCCCCACTTCCCCCACTTCCTGGATCCTCCCCCCTTCCCCCATTTCCCGGATCCTCCCCCCACTTCCCGGATCCTCCCCCCCACTTCCCCCACTTCCCGGATCCTCCCCCCCCACTTCCCCCACTTCCCCGATCCCCGTCCCCCCCCCCACTTCCCCCATTTCCCGGATCCTCCCCCCCACTTCCCCCACTTCCCGGATCCTCCCCCCCACTTCCCCCACTTCCAGGATCCCCCCCGCCCCCCCCCCCCCGCCCCAGGCCTTAGGGAGAGAAGGGCAGAGGAGCTCAGCCTGTGCGAAGGGAGGGGCACACTTCAGAGAGCCGAGGGCCGAGCAGCGTCCTGCCCTCGCTGCCCACGCTGCCCACCCGAGCCCTGTGCGGCCAGCAGCAGCAGCTCGGCCGGGGACAGCCGCGAGCCATTCTGCGCGTGCGCGGCGCGGGCCGCCCGGGTCGGCGGGAGCGCCGGCTGTCTGCGCGTGCGTGGCGCGGCCCCTAGGCGGCGCTGGCGCTCCACCAGCCTCTGCCCGCCGGCGCGGTCAGCCCCGAGTGGTCAACCTGGCGCGGTCAGCCCCGCGTGGTCAGCCCTGTGTGATCAGCCCGTGTGGTCAGCCTGGCATGGTCAGCCTGGTGTGCTCAGCCCGGCACGATCAGCCCCGCATGGTCAGCCCGGCGTGCTCAACCCCGCATGGTCAGCCTGGCGCGGTCAGCCCGGCGTGGTCAGCCCCGTGTGGTCAGCCCGCGTGGTCAGCTGCAGCCTGAGCCTTCCCTCCGGATTGGTTTGCATTCTGGCAGTGCAGCCTGAACTTCCGGCTATGAAGAGCAGCAGGCTTGCACTCTGGGGGCCTTCCAGGCCTGGCACTGGACTCGAACTCACAGACCACCAGTGGGGCGGGGACTGCACAGAGCATAGCACCTTTGCCAGAAGAAGGACCCAAGGGTGGCTTGGTCCTCACCCCGACCCGAGGGACTGGGTTTTCTGATTTCTCTAAAGTGAAAATGGCTGAGCTGAGTTGTTTCTACTAAGAACCTTCCAGAACATCCATCCTTACAGGCTAACTCTGGCCTTGGGCCAGTGGCCTCTTGCCATTCCTCCACATTTACGCCTCCAAAAGGCAGCAATCGGGCAGGGCCGAGTCCTGGCAGTTCTGGAGGCCGTGCAGGGCAGACCCGGGGTGGACGGGCTGGACAGGGGGCTCCAGGTGGGGAGCATGGCCAGTCCCACAGGCACCCCTCCGTCAGAGCATCAGGAAAATGAGGGA